GTTGGTCAATTCGACCGACCTCGTAGCGAGAGTCTGTAATAATCAAGACATATTTTTACTCAACTTGGTTTTACTTGTACGTAAGTCCTAGGTTATTAGCTACACTACATTGGTGAATACCCTAACATGACCATGATATTATGATTAACTTCATACCAACAGTCAGGAATATATAATTTCCAACAGCCGTAATATCAAAGTCAAGTATACATTTTAGAGTATAACCTTAAAATTTAATATTGAAAGTCATGTAGGGATGATTTATTTATAGCTGTATCATCCCTATATTCTTATATTTGCATTCTTTTTTGGCACTGCCATTCCTATATCATTTTACATTTACAAAATGTTTTTATTACTTGTAATATATGGCTTATCCTGACTCACAAGAACAATAGTTAATCATTTATACTGGTGGTTTCTTTTGATAGTCTAAAGTAGTATAATAAATAATTAAAAACAACGTTTTGTATTTACACAATTAAAGCTTTATTGAAACCGAACGGTTTCCACTTTAGAACAACACTCTACAAGTACTAGTTTCGACGTGATCTACGTCATCTTCAGGAGTTACTTACAAGACATACTTTATATTTTTACCCCTTTTCCCATTGCTTAGCTATTATTTACATATTTTCTTGGTCTACTTATTATTATTATTTTATTTATTTTTTAAATAATTATTATAATATATCTCGCAATATATCACCATATTAACTTCTTAGAATAGTCGTTGAAGAACTATGGGGATAAGAAGAATACATTTTAAGTTAGTTTGACAGCGCATTAGGAAGTTCTTAGAATAGTCGTTGAAGAAGTATGGGGATAAGAAGAATACATTTTAAGTTAGTTTGACAGCGCACTGACTCTAGAAGAGTCACTATATAGAAGTATTAAAGCGTTGCTGAACAGTTAGTGAGGTAGAAGCAATCCCATGTTAAATTCTCGTACTTGTCATAAAAATGGAACGCCAGTTGGGTACCTCAATCTCTAAAAATATAAAAGCGTTTTAATTTTAGTTCTTAAATTTGTCATTAATTGCCTAGAATAAATTAAATTCACGATCTTTAATACTGGATAATTTTAAAATGGTATTAGGTCATTGAATGTGGCACATTATGGATTCCAGAAAAGTTAATAATTAGGAAATCCTACACTTAGCCTACTGATCTCTCCCTATTGATTCAACAGGCTGCTCCAGCATACTTTATTTTATCATTACAGCACCGTTTATTATAATAGTTTTATAACGTAGTTTGGTTGTTGTTAAGCGCAGGCTTACAAAATGGGCTAATTGTGCTCTGCCCACTACTGGAATCGAAACCCTATCGATTTTTAACGTCGCAAACCTGGAGACTTCTCCATGATCCACTGCAGACTTAATAATGCGAAATCCCATGAAGATACATCAAATAATTATTGATACAAATTGATAAAAACCCTATAACCTTACGAAAGGTGATTTGCCACTGAAGAAGAAAGGTCCACCTTTCGAAAGCGCTCGGATTATAGGGTATTTATCATTTTATATCAGTACTTCTTGAACCTACGTGTTTTTCTGACATCATGATTTAAATGATTTAAATGATTGGACAGTGTTAGTTTAATGGCGTGTTGTCGCTGAAAAACTGTTGGGGAGTGTGTGTATAAGGTATAATAAATTACTTAATAGCGTGAAATCATAAAAAAAGAACCATTAGGGAGTTTCTGGTTAGTGCAAGCAAAAATATTTGTACACTGAGGCAGTGCAGATAGTAGTCTCCTATATAATTTCATAGTATTGTATATATCTAGTTAATTTACTATACAGGATTATCTTAGTCCTGATCTATGTGAACTTACTTTTGGTCAGAAGTCCTTACCGGATGATATTCTCTAACATTGATGTAGTTAGGATTATAAGAGATGGCATAACTTGGAACTACAGGTTTTAGCCCGTCACGGCATGAAACTTGTTATCTAAAATAATTAAAGATATTTCACACTAAATATTCATAAAAGAGGAGCTGGTGAATTATTGTAAAGTAGCACTGTGAAATCAATCAAATAATTGCTATTAATTCGATATTTGGCATACAAGTCATCACTTAAAAATACAATTATCAGTAAAGTATTTTTGTCTCTCTTTTTTTTAACCTGACTTCCATGAATGTTGTATTCGATCATCTGACCGAACTCAACTGCATGCTTAAAAGGAATTTATTTGTATAGATATAATGTAATAAGTTATTTATAAATTGATCATTTTGTTTGTGTGTTTGTTTTAGATCAAAACCACGTTTGGCTATCTGCACTCTGTTCACCGCGTAGAATCGAACCCTGGATTTCAGCGTTTCAAAAATGATCACATGAAACAGGATTATTGCAAAGATAGGAGTGATATTGAAAGAGTAAAGATTAATTGTTATAGGTGTTGATGGATAAGTTGTTGTTTTTTTTATGATATACAGAGCCTCCTCGAAGTGCCTCGACAAAATTTCGACAGACTCTCCGCTATGCCACAATGTCGGCTTTCAAGACCAGACGAAATACAAAAGTCCATTGAAATTGCATCAGGTGGCTTGATAAGCATGTGGTACAGTCTCTTCGGTCATGTTTTTTATATATATAAAAAAAAGATCCGCTTATTTCAAGGTGTGGCTAAAACTTTGTGAACGTTTGGCTTACTTGGCTATTTTTGAGTCGTCCTGAACTTCAGGTCCTTTAGTTTAGTATCTTGTTAGTGGTATCAGAAGCTATGCACTGTTTCATCACAATGGGTTTTTGGGTTAGAAGGTTTTCTTTCATAACCATAGCCTTTACTTTATGAATGAATGGATTACTGTAGATTGGCTTGGGTGTGGTTTTGAAGCCTGATATTATTCTAAACGTTCTATAGGGCAAGATTT